AATTGATTGAAATCGAGCACATAAATACACACTAAACATAATATCAGGTCTACTAGCAGTTAAGTAGAGAAAGGATCTGATCATACCTCGATATTTTGTTACATCAACGAAAATACCTTGATCATCCTTATCCAATTTTATGGATGTACTCATGGGAGTGTTCATAGACTTCAAATCATCTATTTTCGAACCTCTTGGAGCATGTCCAATATATACTTATTTTGATTGATAAATATACGATCTCCAGCTTGCTTAATTTGGAGACCAAGGAAGAATTTGAATTCTCCCATCATACTCATTTCAAATTCCATGCATTTTGAGAATTCTTCACAAAGATGGATATTAATAGCACCAAATATAATATCATCGACATAGATTTGAATAGTAATCACATCATTCTTTTGAGTTTTGACAAATCGGGTAGTATCTTCTTTTTCTCTTGAAAATATAGTTCGGATACTTGCGATCTTTAAAGCTAAGCGGTTACTCGACAAAACTTCTTCTTGAATAAAACCATTAAGAAATACACTTTTGACATCCATTTGATAAAGAGTAAATCATTTACAACAAGCAAATGCAAGAAGCATGTGAATGGATTCTAATCTAGCAACTGGTACAAAGGTTTCCTCAAAATGAATACCTTCTTCTTGATTGTAACATTGGGCCACTAATCTAGCTTCGTCACGCACAATAATCCCATTTTCATTTCTTTTATTTCTAAAAACCCATTTTGTACCGATGACGATTTGATTATTTGGTTTAGAGACTAAATCCCATACATGATTTCTTTAAAATTGTTTTAGTTCTTCTTACATGGCTAGAATCCAAAATTTATCAAACTCGACTTCCTTGAAATTTTTTGGTTCAATTTGTAAGATGAAAGTACAACTATTTAGGTGATTCCTAGTAAAAGCTCTAGTTGTAATACCTTTAGATAGATCACCAATAATAAGTTCTTTTGAGCGAGAGGGAACAAACCTCAATTCTTTTGGTAGAGTGGGATCATTTGACGCTTCGGTAAGTTCTTGTTCACTTGATTGAACATTTACTCCTTCCTTGTGTTCTTCTTTTAGATCATCCTTGTTTCAGTCTTGAATGTTCATTTGTTCAAAGGAAGTTTCCAATCCTACATCATTAGCAATACCTTTCTCACGATAAAGAGGATTAGTTTCATAAAAATAACATGTATAGAATCTTCAACGACTGGAGTTCTTTTGTTTAAGACTCTATAAGATTTGCTAGTCGACGAGTAACCTAGAAAGATTTCTATATCGAATTTTGAATCAAATTTTCCCAAAAATTCTTTTATGTTCAATTTTGTTAAAAGACTCTATAAACTTTGCTAGTCGATGAATAACCTAAAAAGATTACAATATCAAAATGTTCCCAAATTTTCTTTTGTGTTTAAAATAAAGAATTTACACCTAAAAACTTTAAAATAACCGATATTTGGAATTATATTTTTCCAAATCTCATATGGGATTTTAGTTTTCTTTCAACTAATTAAAACTTTATTTACAATATAGCAAGCGGTGTTGACGACTTCAAATCAAAAATATTTTGGCGAGCTATTTTCATTTAGCATGGCTCTAGTAATTTCTTGCGATGTACGATTCTTCCTTTTTACTACATCATTTTGTTGAGGAGTTTTAAGAGCCAAAAATTATGTTCATATCCATTTTCATTGCAAAATTCGTCAAAAGTAAGATTGTCAAATTCTCCACCGTGATCACTTCTAATAGTTATAATAGAGAATCCTTTTTTATTTTGAAATTTTTTGCAAAAATGTTTGATAGAATTCAAGGCTTCGTCTTTGAGGTTTAGGAAAAGAACCCAAGTGAATTTAGAGATGTCATCGACAATGACAAAGGTATAATGTTTTTCACTTAAACTATAGGTTCTAGAAGGTCTGAAAAGATCTATGTAGAGTAGTTGATGTGGTTTTGTGGTCGAAGAATTTAGTTTAGGTTTAAAAGAGCTTTTTACTTATTTACCAAATTAACAGGCATCACAAATTTTATCTTTATCAAACTTCAAATTTGGTAAATCTTTGACAAAATCATTTTTGGAGATTTGTTAAAGAAGATCCATGCCAATATGACACAATCTCTTATGCCATAGCCAAGTATCCTCTTTCAAACTCATTAAACATTTTNATAGCCAAGTATCCTCTTTCAAACTCACTAAACATTTTTCATCATTTTCAAAATCAATATTTATGAGATAAACATCTTTGCTTCGACTTCCTATAAATAATAACTCTTTAGATGTAGCATCCTTAATGAGACATTTAGAATAATCAAATTTAACATGATAACATTTATCACATAATTGACTAATACTAAGTAAATTATGTTTGGGGTTATCTACCAATAGTACATTTTCAACAGTAGGGAGATATGATTACCAATGTTTCCAATTCCAATTATTTTTTCCTTTTGCATTGTCTTCAAATGTGACATGACTTCCATCTTTCTTTTTGAAATTCGATAGTAAAGTTCTATCTAAGGTCATGTGCTTTGAACACACGTTATCTAAAAACCATTTGCTCGTCATCTTATTTGGTACCTACAATAATAATTCAACTTTTGATTTTTGGTACCCACAAAAACTTGGGTCTTTGGTTGTTAGTTTGAGTGGATCCAGCTCAGGTGAACAAAAATGAAAGTTAATGTAGATTTTTTTTTTTGGTAGACAATTGTAGGCAATATGTCCATCCTTGTTGAGGGAATTGTATTTGAGACTTTGACAAATAAATTTTTGAGAGATTTTTGTTTCAAAGATGGTTTATATCCAATGCTGCATTTATCAAAAACACATTTTTGATCGCCAAACATTAAATTAGAATTCTTCTTCCATGAATTTTAAAACAATTTTTGTCAAGTTTTCAACATTTTCTTTCAAAAAATAATTTTCTTTATACAATGAATCATAATCAACATTTTCCTTTTTAGTTTCTAAAATTTTCATCATTTCAATTTTCAACAAGTAATTTTTTTTTTTTAA